AGACTGGCTCCTTCCTGACCCCAGTCTCTTTCAAAACCCTACCCCCTTAACACCTGGTCAACTTGTTTACTATTGCCCACCGGGGGGAAAGCCCCCTTTAAAACCAAATTGGGAGGGTCCTGCTCAGGCAATTATGTGCACTCCCCTGGTAGCCAAACTCAAGCTGTCTAATAACCAACTTACCCCGTGGATTCACATTTCCAGGCTTAAGCCCAGCACTCCTACACCTTCATCAGAAGAGCCAATGATCTTCACTTGTCATTAAGTACTCTTGTCATCCCTCCCCACAAGATCCCCTCAAGCTCCACCTCTCTGTGTCGCTGTTCTTAGCCCAATACCTGAAGATGTTCCATAAATGGGTTCTCCTACTGCTACCCCTCATTTCTGGCCCCTCTTGGGTCCTCTCTTTGCCCTGTGTCTGGAGATTCAAAGCAAGTGACCCTAAGGGCCCCCTCCAGCCAGACCCCCTTCTCCTCCTTACAGACCCCTTACTTGCTTGGATCTGGCCGGTAGTGGGACCATTGTGTGTTGTCCTTCTGACAGACCACTTAGGTATCCGGAGCATGGTGACCCCTGAATAAGTGTGAACTACCTTTATCATAAGAGAGCACTTTATCAGTTGCCTTCTGGGCCTAAGGAGCAGCATGTGTATTTTGTTTACCCTCCCAGTTTTGTAAGAATTTCAAGTATCAGTATTTAAAGTTGAGGTGTTTCACATAAAATCTGAAGAGATCTGACTTCTCTCAAAGGGAAATCTGGGAACAATGGGCCACCGTCCTTCCTTGGCTGCCTTCGTTCAGAGCATGGGAGAAGCTATTTCGAGAAAGGTAAAGACAGAAGCAAGCTGGTATACCCAGGTAGGAGAAAGTTTGAAGAGCAGCCTTAATAGAGAGTGGAGGGAGCTAGATTGGACTAGGAATGAAGAGTGGAATTGAGGGTGTTAGGTGCAGGACAGGCTGGTCTGCCAAAGAAAGTTAGCTGCAAGATGACCTTGTTCTTTATTATCTGTTTGCTTCAAGCTCAAATGCCTAACCCCCATTCAAGGCTGAACACTTAACCCCCCTTGGTGCAACAAGGCAGCTTGCAGACCCAGAGACCCCATTAGATTTGGGCTATAAAAACTCCTTGTGCCTATTCCTTCCCTTTATCATAAAGTTCATTCAGACTCAGGTGGGTAAAAGATTTCTAATCAAGCTTTTAACCAGCTTCTCCTCAGGAATTACCAACTCCTGGCTACTGATGATACCTCCAGTCGAGACCTATGCCGAATGGACTGACATCATCATGAATCTGTGGTGGTAAGGAACCTTTGTTGATCTAGTTCCTGAAGTTATACCTGTCCTCTCTCCCCTCCTGTGGGGGTTCCTTACTTCCCTCCTCTCTGATTCTCCCACACCGCCCCATCTCAGTGGGAAACAGCTAGAATGAGTAGATGGCCACTCTCATTTAATAACAAAGAAGGGGGAATGTTGGGAGTTGCCCCGGCTCCAAAGACTAACTTCCCCATCCCCCCCCCCAGAAGAGCCATCCAATGGTGAGCCCTGCTGGCTCACATGATCCTTACCCACCAATCAGAAAGCACCCCATGCCAACTGTCAAACCATTCAACCATTAAACTGTCATAACCGTCAAACCATCCCTGGCTCTATAAATAAGCAGAGCTGTTCCTCAATAAATGGGCATTTTCTCTGACAAGGAGCCTTGTTCGTTCTTTCAGGTGGTAATGGCATAAGTTGGTTCACAACTTAATTTTTTAACAACTGATAATCAGTTATTAAAACAGTTGATTTAGTCACAAAATTACACTTCTTGAAGTCTTTATTTTCAAATGTGATTTCCCAAGGAGTCCATGTTGAATATGATTGTCAATGAACCTCTGATGAGACTATTTCACCTATTAGCATGTTTCTAGTAAAATTTTATTCAAAAACAAAGGAATGAGGAATTTGCAGTAGGCGTCATAACATAATAACTGACACAGTATAATTACTCCATGGGTGGCATTGTATTCCATGCCTTCATTTATTAATGAGAATTATTTTATAGTCATTTATTTGTTAATGAGAATCCCATCATTGCAGTATTAGGGTACTTGAGGACACAAAGGCTAGATTACAGTTCCAAGGTCCTACAGGCACTGCTACTACAGTGATAGTACTATTGGTAGTCATCACAATACTATGATTGATATAATATAATATAATGTGTTAGAATATAATTTAACACTCTTAATTTTTTACATTTCATATTCATATAACTCATATACAACAATACCAAAGTAAAAGGTTGACTAGTTGTTTAGAATTTACTGAAGAGTTGGAATGGAGACAATAATCATTCTGAGGTAAAGAGAAAATGACAATTGTACATTTCACATTCCTTTTTCCAGTGGCCAAAAGAGAAATCACCTAAAAAGGGGTGGGGGTGGGGGGGTGGGCAGGTCAATTTACAGACATATCCATTCCCTGGAGGTTATTAGATTCATGTTGTCTGCCTCAAAGAAAAAGAGATCTCCTTCAAAACCTCTCACAGCAATTTTTTCATCTTTTTTTAAGTAATTCATATTTTTATTTATTTGGTCATCTTTTATACTTATTTATAGATAATAATTATACATAATTATTGGGTAAAAAGTGATGCTTTTATGCACACATGCATTGAGGAATGAGAAAATTAGGCAAATTAACATATCCATAACTTTATATACTTATCTATTTTTTTGGTGGTAGTACCTAAAATTCAATTTGTAATTTGAATTGTACAATACATTGTGTTTTATTTCTAATTTATTTTAAAATTATTTTTCAAGAAAGTAAAATACAGATAGAGAAAATAGCAACACAAACACTTATGTGATTACTACTTGGATTAAAAGAGAGAGAGCTTGGACTTGCTTCTTTATCTACTTACAAGTCAGCACAGTGTAGACACAACCACAATTCAATATGTTAGCAATACTAATAATGTCAATATCTAGCCTAGATACTTATCACCTGGCTGTGCAGTAGATCTCCAGAATTTATTCCTCTTGTTTACCTGAAACTTTACCTTTTAATAAATCTTTCTCCTTTCCCTCACCTTCCCCTCAGTCTATGGTATCTCCATGCTACTCTCTATATCTGTGAGTTCTAATTTTTAGAGTCCAATTTAAGTGAGTAACTCACACCTTGATTATGTAATTTGATATTCCCCTAAGATCATTGCCATTCTAGCCCCATGGCCTTGTGATTCCTTTCCCACTCTACTTGGCACCTCTGTCTTAACTGACTGGAACATCCCTAAATCTTCTGACATGTTGATCCCCAATTCTTGTTTCTCTGCTCCCCAACTCAGTTACTGAGGCTCATTCTGCTGCCCATGAGAGCCCTACGACTACTAACTTTGTAGCTCTTAACAGCTCTAATTTTGTGACCTCTAGTCAGATCCAGTGTTCTCCATCTTGATAATCTCATTCCCACTCACTCCTTTGCTCTGCTCTGTTCAAGTCTCTCACCAGTGACATGCAAACCATTAATATTGTCATCTCTTCCAATTCTGGCCCCAACTTCATTAATTTTCCTAATTCTATCACAGAAAACACCATCTCAACATAGTCATCTTCTTTCTATCCTAATTTACCTCTTACCAATATTTTTTGTCTTCTTTCTAGGTTGGCCTCTGGATCTCATTTAAGAATCACACTGCTTAAATACCTCAGGAGTTTATTAAAAACCTTTTCAGTTATACCACATATTTTTGGCTTGTAAATCAAAAGTAATATATGATATTTCTTACATAAAGGCTTTATGGATTTGTTGAATATAAGAAACATTCAGCAAATATTATTTGAGCACTGCTCAATTTATATGAAAATTAATTTGAAAGCTTGCAGTGATGAGAGTGACAGGCACTATGCTGTGCAGGGCTTCAGTTCCCATTGCTACTTCAGTTGATTTCATTAAGAGACCCTCCCAATTCCCACCATGAGTATTTTTTCAGAGAAAAAAGAGAAAATCATCCTGTTCAAGAACACCTATATCCTTTATAATTTTTCTTTTTCAAGACTTCTGAAAGCTAGCATGGTAACAAATAATCTTTATTACCAGCTACTTGGGACACTGAGGCCGGAGTATCATAAATTTCATCTTAATGAAACCCCACCTCAGAAAAAAAATAAAAAGGTATAGTTCATAAATAGTGTGCTTCTTGACATGTGCAAAACCAGGGTTTAATCCACAGGCTTACAACAAACCAACAGAAAGCTTGTGGAGATCATAGTCTGTTGATTTGAAAATGATAATATATGTGTACCTCTATGGCAGACAGAGGAGATTAAGTCAGCATGCCTATCTCTCATCTCTGAAGATCCAAGTTGTTTAGTTGCTGTCCCTTGGGCTGTTTTAACTTCCCATGAAAAGGTAGAGACTGTACCCGCAAAGGGAAACCAAACATTTCTTTTATGTATAAAATGAGGAAATTTTCTTCTTTGCATCAGAATTCCTTTAGGTCATCAGCTTTGAGAACTGAACCACAAGGTATAAGGGCAATTCCCTTAGTAATGCCATAGTATAAAGAGCCACAAATCTGTCTGAATTGAAGATAAGCACTCCTTTATATTTTTGAATATGAAAAATAAATTTTTATTGAAATATTAAAACTCAATTAAGGTTAATTATTATTAGATTTTTTAAAAGTACATATTTTTAATTTTTTTTCTTTAGAGGGTATTTGTAATCATTAATGGCTTAATTAAATTTGATCTTGTCCACAGACTGGTCACATTTACATGGTTATAATACATTTTGTTTCAGTTTTAATCCCTCTCAAAATCATACAGGCTTTGAAGACCTAAACTTTGTGAATACCTCAAAGTTTTGTAACATAAACAGAGAAGTTCCAAGAAATCAGGAAGAAGAAAGTGTTTGTGTATGCTTTGGTTACTGGTGTGATCAAAATTGGTCACTCAGCTACCTCAGTTGTGGCGGGTAGAGACACGGAGTCAACACATAGACACTGGGAGCTGGTGAGAGCTGGCAGGTTTAATGCAGAAGTGATTACAATTGATATAGAACGCATCTTCCAATCATACATAAGCAAGCAGGTTATACAACATCTAGAAACCAATCATCTTATGATTAATGTAGCCACACTATGAGGAAGCTCTAAATATTGCTATGCGGTGGAAGGCAGACTGGAAGGATCATTGTCCCTAGGGGAGGGGGCCTTATGAGTCTGGGATTTCATGCCCTGAAGCACCTAACTCTCAGTTTTCTGGCCTTGTAGCTTGGCAACGCTGACCTCAAGCACTGAGGAGGTGGTTTCACTGATGGTTCGCCAGAGCAGAGCACCCTGTCCTGCAGGTGTTCCTGTCAGGTCTGTAAAAACAAGGGTTTTCCTAGCACTCTGAGATGCTCATAGCTGCTAGGTGTAAACTGAAAGTTATTCCAACATTTTCTCCCTTTTTATTCAATTTTTTGCCAAAGGAGAACCATGCTGAGAGAAGAAAGGAAAAAGGGAAAAGCACAGAAAAAGGGAAATAACCAAGGAAGAGAAAGGAGAAACACCTAAATATAGCCTTTTCTTGTAGCTGCAGTTGTTTCCTGCTGTGGTGAGGCAGCCACTGTTGAGTAGGTCTCTGTCTGTCTCTTGGGTCCCGATCAGAGCTGGGCATCAAGAGCAAAGCAGCCATGGGGGCAGGAGACCCCTCTCAGATGGGGTGAAGACTTAGGTCTTTGCACAGTTGGTGGGGGTGAGGTTCTGTGATTCACCTCTGTTCGTCCCCAAGTTTTCTCCTGATGGCCCCTCTGTGGCTGTGCCTGTCTTAGGTTGTTCCTCCCTTGAGGAATCTTACCCGTCATTGACTAACCAGCCATCTTCCCGGGCCAAATAGGGTGATGTGAAGTGTGCAAGGCATTGCCCCAGAGAGGGTTCTCTGTCTCCTGGATAGAAAATGCCCCTGTGGCCTCCATGCTAGCATTTACCTTAGGATCAGGAAACTCAGATTTCTTCTCCATGGAGGGCCCAGCTCATAGCACTGGGTTGGTGAGGCTGCATTCAGGAAGAAAGGAGAAAGGCCATAGACAAACAGTAATATTGTGACCGAACTGAGAGACATAGATAGATGAAAAGGAGAGCAGTGCTAAGACTCAGGGCATGATCCCTCATAGAAATCTGAACCCTAGTTGGTACTACTTAGATCCGATCCATAGCTGCCACTCATACGGATGCCAGGGAATCATTATTTTCTTTTTGACTTTCCTTACATGCAAGAACCTTGTTTTATCTCTACTTTGTTGAGCCTTTTTTGGAACCATCTTAAAAGAGCATATAGTAAAACAAGAAAAACTATGCCAATACCAGCAAGGATCCAATTAGCAGGGTCAATTAAAGCTGACAATTTATCCCATAGCCATTGTAAGATTGAGGGGTTAAGAATTAGCTTTGCTCTGGTTTCATTTAGGCTGAGAATCTGAGCATGCAGCATCATAGTGAAATTTCTAAAAGTCATATCCCAAGGTCCCTTAAGTCTATTTGCTAGTTCAAGCAGAGCTTCTGTTACATTTTTTATTGAGACAGGGGTTTGAAAATTATACAGAAATTGAGGACTGCAGGGTACTCTAACATTCAATTGAAGCCTATCAATTTTTTCATCAATAAGGTCAATCTGTTGTTGTAACATTAAGAGACATGGAGTCAACACACAGACACCTGGAGCTCATAAGAACTGGCAGGTAACAAACTTAGTTGACCTCCAGGCAAGCTCGTTTAATGCAGAAGTGATTACAATTGATATAGAATGCATCTTCCAATCATACGTAAGCAAGCAGGTTATGCAATTGCAGGTTTAGTCAATCCTGGGTGGTCAGGGATTTGATGGAGCACTCCCTGATTAATGGTTGCAGCATTTGTTGTAGACTGGGTCTGCTGGGAGCCATTAGCCAAGTAGGTATGACAATTTCCTTGCCAGCGTACCCCATGTTGCAGTGACATTGAATGTAGGTGACCTTGCTCAAGGACCAAGGCGGATTAGGGCGTTCCCGGTTTAGGTTCCAGGTTTAAGGTTTAAGATTATTCCTGCTGGGAATAGGGCATATCCTGCTGCCTGAGTTCCCCTTGAGTTCTCATGGGATTCAGACAATATATTTTGGGAGACAGAAGCCCAGTGGAGGTGGATTTGGGCAGAGAACGTGGATTTCCCCAGAACATGATTGTAGACGGCTGGTGTGAGTTCGGGAATAAAGAGTTGCTGTTTGAATCTACAAGCTGTGTGGTGGCTCGTGATTTTGTGCCCAGCCAGACTGCGGCATGGGTCAAGGCTACATCAGCAGCAGTAGCTGCTACAATCGCAGAAAGGGAGGCAGCCATATGGCAGCAGTAATCCCAAAATCTCGCTTACCTCTGGGAAGGGAAATATCTTTTGTAAAATGAAACTTTTGAATGGAGGAGTCATCCTCTGTTGGAAACCATAACATGGGGGGTGTTCTCATTACCACTACTGTCTTAACTGAGGAATTCCAGCAATCAGTTAACTCACATTGGGAATTATTACAATAAAGATGATCCTTTTGTGGTTCTGAGTGGAGGCTACAAAGAAAAAGGGTGGCTTAACACATACATGGCCTTTAGTAGCATGTTTAGCTGAGGGTTTTTCAAAAGAGACATTAAACCTAATGGTATTCATGGTGACAATAAGACTCATATCTATACATTTGTAAGCACCACATAACAATTGTTTGCCTAATTGCAAAAAGTCTCCTGTCTGTCTTTCTTTTGTATTTTGAGCATTGGTTATCCAATCTGTATGATATTTAAATATTAATGTATTTGTTTCTATTGAAAATTCCATTCTCTGTCCACCTTTTGTATAGGGTCTGGACCAACTAATAAGCTCATCAGAAATGAGATAGGGTCTGGAAAGGGAGAGACAGTCTCTCCAAGATAGAGCTCTTAGAGGTATACCTTCACTGATATCTTTAAATTTTCTCCATGGACATTGCTGCAGAAAGGGTTGGGGCCAATAATGTGAGTCTTTAGCATGAGGGCGCATGCCAGTAGGCAGATCACTGAGAGAGACTACTTTTGCTTCTCCTTCTAAGGAGAGTAGCCGAAAACCTATAATGCTTCCTATTCTTGGTTCCCAAAGAATATCTTTATGAAGGCAAACTGAAAACTGACATAACCTCTGTGCCCTAGACACATTTCTTAATGTAGTAAAGGCCCATAAATGATCAAGTGAGAGTGACATATTCCAAGGGTGCCTTGCTATTGGGTCAGATGTAACAGGGCATCACAAGGAAATATCAGTAGCAAACAAGAAAGGCAATACAGTATCATCCAAACCAACAGGTAAAAGAATCCCGGGAGATGGAGCCCCTACCCACCAAGCATGTATTTGCAGGCTGAATGACAGAATGATGCACAATAGCATAAAGGAGGTCCTTTTCTGTGTTGATGCAAAAGAAGGGGAAAGTCCAATTAAACTCCCAGCAACAGCATAAGTTGTTTCCAATCAGTTGGGTGTGGTCCTTTTGGTGGGGTACAGGAGAGCGGTAAGAGTGGTAGTTGCAATTGTGGCTGTGAGGACTGCAAGCCTTATGATGATGTTGATCCAGAGGGCTCCCGTTGTCCTTCTGAGATTTGTCCTTGGGATGCATTCTGCAAGATTTGAGAGATAAGTATGTAAAACATCCTGATCATAATTTATTGAGCGTGGATTGCTCTCATGGTTTTTTAATTGCAGGGGCAAGAGTATTTTGCTCACGGAAGGGTTTTTGCCACTAGATAATACTAGAGGCTCTCCACTAGAGGACAACTGTCCCACAGACAGCCATTCATGTGTTATAGCTGACTGCAAAGTAATTCTTCCCACACGGGCCATGCTTTGAAGTACGTTCATTTTGCTCTGACAGGCCAGCATGGGGCCTTGAGTTATTAGGCTGTTAGGCAGAGGCCTTTCTTCTTTCATACTTACCTGTTGTGCACTTACCTGTGAGTTGCAAGTTATAATTGCACACATAAGCAAGAAGTGTTCTGGTCTCCGGCAGGTGACATGGTCTGAGCTTGATCTGATAGGGCTTTGATATAAACTCAGGTTATCTTGTGTGCTGTCCAGTGGGGAGTCATGTTGATCTCTTCTTCTCCTTTTGGCTCGGTTTCCGAGGCCTGGCTGTCGGTGACTGATGTGGTCAATTGGTCACTCGGCTACTTCAGTCGCAGGGTTAGAGACACGGAGTCAACACACAGACACCAGGAGCTGGTGAGAGCTGACAGGTGACAACCACAGTCGACTCCAGGAAAGCTTGTTTAATGCAGAAGTGATTACACTTGATATAGAATGCATCTTCCAATCATACATAAGCAAGCAGGTTATACAACATCTAGAAACCAATCATCTTATGATTAATGTAGCCACACTATGAGGAAGCTCTAAATATTGCTATGTGGTGGAAGGCAGACTGGAAGATCATTGTTCCTAGGGGAGGGGGCCTTATGAGTTGGGGATTTCATGCCATGAAGCACCTAACTCTCAGTTTCTGGCCTTGTAGCTTGGCAATGCTGACCTCAAGCACTGAGATTGTGGTTTCACTGATGGCTCGCCAGAGCAGAGCACCCTGTCCTACAGGTGTTATTGTCAGGTCTGTACAAACAAGGGTTTTCCTAGCTCTCTGAGCTGCTCGTAGCAGCTAGCAGCAAACTGAAAGTTATTCCAACAAGTGTTGATTAAATGAAGGAAACAGTTATTTGATTTCTATTTCCAATATTTACTTGATAAGGTTTCCTGAGTTGATGAAGACTCTATCCTGGTCAATTCTCTGGTTTGTCCTTTGCTAGAATAAAATATGTTTAAATAACATTTTATGTGGGAATCACAAAATTTTCATAGATGATTTTGTATTTAAGGGTGAGTAAATTTTCTTCATGAGTTGAAAGGTTGAAAACATTCATGAAAGGAGAGAAAGTTTCAAGATCTGTATATTTGTTCAACTGCGTGATGCAGTCACTCTACAGGACTTTGAGCATCATGCAATGACTCTAAATTTCCTGTATGAAGATGACTTTCTCGGAGGTATTATTTATCTTTAAAGAGTACTCAGAAAAATACTTCAAATTAGGAAGTAGATATTCTATACAGTTTATTTGATTTTGTCATATGGTCCTATTTTAGTAATTTCTTTCTAATCCAGACAGAATTGAGGAAGAGAGATATTAAATACTTTTTCAGGAACTCTTAAATCTTGAAGTGATAAAGGATCTCTTTTTACACATTTCATTCACAAAGTGGAATATTTAAAGTTCTAGTTGTAAGGAGGATGTGTTTTAAGGTTGATATATACTGTGACATTGTTCAGATACTAAGGATCTTATGTGGTCATTGAGGATTATTGTTTATTCAAATCATTGAGCACATCCTGCTTTGTGATTTTTGCCCATTCATCAGGGATTTTACCAAGGTTAGTAAATTTTTTCTCATAATTTTCTTCTAGCTTTGATCTGAAGTGAGAGACAAACCATTTCCAGTATGGTTGGGTGGATGAATCTGGGGTGATGCTCCATGTGGCAAAATCCCCTCCTGCCTGCCGATATTTCTTATATAAAAATATCTGATCATCTCTCAAAATAAATGAAGAATCACTTGCTACTAAACTAGTACAACAATCAATGACAAAGTGCTCTGATTTATATTTATGCCATCCATTGATAGCCTGAGGACGATGAAATGAAACTCTGTGGTCTCCATCATGTTCAGGAATTGTGTTTGTACAAATTGCTTTACAGAACGGGCACTGTTTCCAGCAACCACAGAGATGTTCAGAGAGGGTTTTCTCAATTTCAGGAACCATTTCATCTATATTCCTACTTGAAAAAATTTCTTCTACTTTTTTCATTGCAGGATCCAAAGCTGCACTCATGGCTTCTTTGAGAAACTCCATATCTTTTATTTCCTGGTGCTCAATGCTTATCAAGTCTCTTCGAGGGAAGATCAGCTTGTTCCCCAGATAGTCACAGAATAAATCCAGCCACTCAGATGCAGTGCTGCTTTTATTTTTAGCTACTGCTGTGGATTCATGAATGGCAGACAGGATGGCAGACTTGATGTCCTCCAAACTTGTTTTTAAAAATGTCTTTATATTTTTACCTCTGTTGACTGAAAAGTACTTTGTGGTTTTGTTTCTAATGTAAGTCCTAAAAAATGATTCTGGATTATGAATGTATTGCCAATAACTATCAAAATTTTCTTCTTCTGCTAGAGAGATGAGAATGTGTTTCTCCAGGTTAGCCCTGTTTCCACTGAATGCAGGGCAGGTAGCTTGTATGTCCCCAGTTATTTTCAGGGACATATTCCCCCATATGGTGTCAGAGACAGCAGGAGTGAGCTTCTGCCATAGAAAATCAACAAAAGACGTGATGGAGGTTGCACCTTGGCAGAAGATCTTGAAACTCATGAAAAAATCATCTTTCTTGTTTTCTAGATACCTTACAGGATCATTTGCTATTTTGAATGCTCTGTGCATTTCCTTAAAATGTTTTGATGCTCTACAAAATAAACACCAACATAATTCAATTTTGTATTCACCGGTAAATATATATCTGTCCTTAGTGAGTGCAGAATTCACTTCATTTTCTACTACTCTCAGGATTTCATGGAAGTCACTTTGATCATAATCACGTTGGTGACTCCAAATGCTGTTAATAGATTCATCAAATCTTGAAAAAATGCGTTCAGTAGTCATATTAATGGGCACTTTATCACAGGCCTCTAAATTCTTTGAGAAAGTGCAATATTCTGGACAAATCTTGACATGTTTTACAAAATCTATTTGAAAATCCTCTCTAGTATTTCTCTTTATTTTTTCTACTATGTTTTTCTCCTTTTTGAAATGATCTAAAAGGATGTTTTCAGCATCCACATCAATGTTAGGTTCTATGGCTTGAGAGACATTTGAGGACACTTCACAGACCCATTTTCCCCAAATTTGGTTGAATTTCTCACGTAAATCTTCATCACTCAATTTTTCACCGTTTAAACTTAAAGCCAATTTTTGGCTCCTATCCAGTAATTCATTTTGATATACCTTCTTTTTCTGTTCCAGTAGTTCTTGACTTTCTTTGAGATGAATAAGTTCATTGGCTTTTCTTTTAGTGTCTGAAATAAGTGACTCTTTAAGGACTAGCAGCCTATATTCAAAATGGGCTTTCCATTGGATGAGTATATAGCTCTCTGTGTCTTCAGTGAAATATTTTTCAAATTCTTGCTTGATGGTTTCATATTTCTTTACAACTGGATCCTCAATCATGCTTGCTTTAAGTGTCAGAATTTTTCTATTCTGAATCTGATTGTGAAGCTGGTTCTGCAAGTCCAACATATGACTCCTGAGTTCCCAGGTCCAGTGGTTATACATGGTTTCCAGTTTGCTCATGGCCATGACCTCTCGGGTGTTCCTAAAACTGAAAATGAAGTTCTCATTTACTAGGGCCCTCCACAAATCTTGAACTCTGAATTTTACATCTGATATCCTCATGATACTTCCTCTGGATTCCTGTTTGGCGGTCAAAAGGATTCTACTTTTCAGTTCTTGGACATTGTGGCTATAGCGAGGATTGGGAGGGGCCATGGGGGGATTGCCCTCCCAGAGGTGAGCAAAGTAGTACACGTGAGTATTGACATCAAACTTGATGACGTCATTGAAGCAGGTTACATCTGAGCACTCTTCTTGTTTAGCAGCCAGTGCTGCCATTTCATCTAGCCTCTGCTCTAATTGCCTTCGTCCATCCATAGTTTGGTCTTTAGCTGTCACTTCTCCTACATTCTGATGCACAAATATGCAAGTTGGGGAGATTTTCACTTGTTTCATCCTCAGAAAGGCTTGGACAGCTATCTGTAGGATGTCTTGCATTTCTGATGGATTCTCCCCGAATATATTGATCAGGGTCAAGTTTGCAAGTCCAATGACAAAGGTGGCTAACTCATTGTCCCAATTCTGGGATTTGTTGCTGAGTTCTGGGGCCCAAAGTCCTTCTGTGTCTACAACCAGCACAAAGTCAAAGCCAAGTTCCTCTGTTGATGACTCATCCACCTTTAGGAGCTGCATGTAGGCCCCCCTGGTACACCTGCCTGCACTTACACTGAACTGTAGCCCAAAAAGAGCATTCAGTAGGGTGGACTTTCCAGAGCTCTGCAGGCCAAGGACAGAGAGAACAAAGAGCCGTTTGTCTCCCAGTTTCTCAGAGAGCTTGTCAAAAACAGCTGCCACCCACTTTAGGGGCACATAGGAAGTATCCCCATCAATCAGCTCTATGGGGACACCAGATGTCATCAGGTCTGCAGCAATTTGGGGAAGGAAGAGAAAAAGTATATCTCTTGTGGAAGAAGTTTCTTCCAGAGCTTCATAGATCTGGCCAATTTCTCTGAGAAACTGCTCAATTCCTAAGGTACAATTAATAATCTTGGTAGAGATGGATTCTATTTGATGTTGCAAGAGTTTCAAAGAGTTGCTGTTTTGGGATTTTCGCTTTTCTGTTTGTATTTTTGAAAACAAATTACTTAATGTTTCATTCAGGTTTTTCAAATGCTCTGCAGTCAGGATATCCAAAAACATACTCATCCGTTGTAAGAAGTAGAGTAAAGTGTGAGTTTCTGAATACTTGTAGAGAATTTGAAGCACAAATTTCATTACATCTTTTAGAGGAAAAGCTTTTTCCAATTGTTGTTGCCTTATTCTTTGTTTATCTGTCTCAATCTCACTCTTGTGTTGTTCAATGCTTCGATTCCCCTTTTCTCTTAGGTGATACATTTCTTTGTCCTTCTTACACCAAAGATGCCACAGTTGTCCCTGAAGGGGAAGGAAATTTTCCTTCACTTGAGTCAACTCCGTTTGTTCTAGGAGAGACCTTATAATTTGTGCCTTTTTCTTGACTTCCTTGAAATCACTCTGGTCTTCATCAATAAAAAATCCTTTCTGGTAAGCAATATGACAACAGTCCTCTATGCTGAGAGCAGTGTCAGAGAACTTTAGCAAATGTCTGATGGCAGTTGTGAGTTCCTCTGTCAATTCTGCACCATTTTTGCTCTTCATACCAATTTTCACCTTTCTATCAGAATAATTGGACTTGGATTTTTCTTTGTCATCAAGCAAGCAGATCAATGATTTTGAGGACTGCCACAAGTCATTAACAACTGCTCGGCTTTCTTCATTGTCATTAGAAGCTGACATGAGGACCACAATGATTGAAGAGACCTCCTGCAGAAAAGTGAGCTGCCTTTTATGTTCCTTTGCATCTCCATGAAGATTGGTGAAGGTCACACAGTTGTCAAACCTGTCTTCCTCTTCCCCACCAGGGCAGAACCAGCAGATTTCCACCACACCCCCCATCAAAAGGCAGTTCTTGCTGCTTTCTCTGCAGTATCGGTGGAAAAACACATCATGTTTGCATTCACTGAGAAGACAGTTCATGATCTCAGATTTGGAAGCTGACAGGCCACTGCCAACTCTAATGAAGGACACAAAGGGAGTGGAGACACGACACATCTGCTGACTTTGGTGACTAATCTTCCCTTGTGGTGATTCCCTTGCTTGCTGCCAACTTCGCCTAATTTGTCTGAGAGACCAGACAGAAAATTCAATTTGAGAAGTGCAGGGATTTGGCACCAGGAGGGGCAGGGCAAATTGACAAATGAAAAGTTTGGTTAAAATGTATTGTCTGGCAAAATCATCTGCACAGTGAAAGATGGCCATCTGAATATCCATGGGGTGAATGTGGGGCTTGGAATCAATGATCAAAGTATTAGTGGGATTATCATCATCTTCAAAAAAGTCTTCATATGGATTACTAGCTTCATTTTCCTGATTAGAAATACTTGGAGAGACCTGATGTTCTATGTTTCCATCCTCTTTGAAAACCTGGTATCTCAATCTATAATCCTGCATCAGTAGCTTCTGAAGGAAATAAAAGGGAAGTTCCTGTTCAGATTTGGGCTGAGTGTTGCACACAGAAGGCTTGTAGATCAGATGGAAGTCAGCTCTACTCATCCTTTTTGGGTAGTAATGTTCTAGGCCAAGACGCTGGAGTAAGTCCAGGAAAGCTCCATTTTCTATTATTTCATGTGTGTTATTTGTATTAGTTTCTGGTTCGCAGGGCTGTTTCTTTTCATCAAGAAGACTTTGTAGCTCTCTTTTGACCTCATCCATTTTCACAGAAGAGATGGTAGCTTCATAATCTCCATCAATGAGTAGACTCAAGTCTCTTTCTAAGTTTTCCCAATCATGATCTCCCCCACATTTAGTGAGGACATGCACAACTTCTTCAGAAAATAATTGTTCCATATGTTTTGTTATAAATTCCATGCGTTTTGTCTTCTCTTCTGGTGAAATAACTGTGACACCAGCTGTGGCTGTCAGACTTGTGAACACCAGAAATGCATGTGCCCTGGAGCTAGAAGTGGTTTTCAGCTGCTGGTATTTATTGTAGGCAGTTTGCATTTTATCCAGAAGGAAGTTTAACTCATCATGGCTCAAAAGATGTTGAAAATTATTACTTATCACCTGATATCCTGCACCAGCTGCAATGGAAAGTAACAAGAGCTGTGTGTCTGTCTGCTCTGTTGCTTGGAGGTGATTTAAGAAGCTGTTGAGAGCCAAGCTGACCTTATATGTGGCCTTTCTTTGAACTTTTTCAACTGATTCTGGAGACTCAGATTTTACCTTTACTTCCAAGACTTCATTTTGGGTATCTTTTATAATATTAATAAATTCAGAAAATTGGAAGCATTTGACAAGTTCTTCTTCTGACTCTGGCTGGTTGATCCAGTGCATAATGGAGTGATTCTGAGGAAAGTTTTCCACTTTGTAGATGTGAGGATCAAGAAGAATACCCAACAGCATTTTAATACATTTTGTTTTATAATTGAAAGACATTTTGCAAAAGTTGACAGTATTGACTAAAAAGGTCTGCAGATCTTTATCTGTGAGGCATAGATTAATCCAAGTATCATCACCTTTTGTTTTTTGACTCAATATTTGCATGAAATCTATCATTTTTTGAAGTTGTTTTTCAGGATCAGACACCAACCAGGACTTCACACCATCTAGAAAAACTCTAACCTCTTGCCTAATTTTCAGTAACTCCTCTCCCTCTTGGATCTGTGCGGAGAAACCAGTCAGAGAAGTGTAATTGTCTCTCAGGCAGTTAGCCATCTTAAGGGGATCCGTAAAATCACTTCTGTATCTGGAGAGGATGATGTCCCAAATGGGTACCAGTTGAATTCCCCGATCAATGACACACCAGGTTTGATTGCTGGCAACAAGGCCAGCTTTCCATTGAGCAAGGTCATCTGCTTCTGGTGGTCCACCTGTCTTGGATACAGATAATTGGAATTTGGTTTGGAGATTTTGGAAAGTTTTGTTCTGAGTATCTGCTTTTGACTGTGAGTCTGACACATTTATACCTGCAGCAACATTCGCTCCAAAGCCACTGTAGCCACAACTTATGTAAATATTCAGGGTTTCTATTGCCTGCTGCTTTATATCAACAAGCTGATCACTTTGGAACCCCTTTGAGACAGCCTTCCACCAGTAGATTCCTCCCAGGTGCAGAGGGCCTTGGTTAGCATGAGAGCCAAACCTGTGGAAGAATCTTTCACTCCACTGTTTCAGCACCTGGGATTCCTGAGGGTCTGTAGTCTGATCCAGAAGGTCTTCAAGGCATTTCAATTCCTGAAGAGCAGCATTGGACAACTGGAGTTGATCAATGGGGAAGTGGCAGGCTGCCATGGGAGTGTATCTGAACTTGGTTGAGCAGAAATAAGAGCACTCCGAATTTGTTAGGTGGGTTTCCTTAGATTCTGAATGTTTGCCTTTATCCAGTTCAGTTTCTAAACTAAATCCCCAACCTCCACCCTTGGCTGAAGTAGTTAAACTGAAGCCTAAATTCTCCATAGACTGGGTGAACATGACTTCTGCTTGAGAAGATGTAAATTCTTCAGATTTCATCAATGTGCCCTGCTGAGGTCCAAGGAGTGAGAACTCCTTGGGGACACTGAGTAGCTCCTCTCTCCTCTGTATCAGGTCCATGTGGTGGCAGGTTTTGTATATTCCCTGCAGGGCCAGCCCTCCAGATGCCCATCTTACCAGATCTCTGTCTGGGAGGTTTGGCCTGTGGGATGGCGTCTGCTCCGTGGGACTGAATGTTCTCCTCATGATTTCCATGACTTCCCTGAGGGGCTTTGGAGGCTTCAGCCTGTTCTCTTCAGGGATCTCCATGGCTTGCCTCAGCTCTGCTTCCTTTCTCTTCACTGCCTCTTCCTGTCTCTGTCTCCCTTCTGACAGCAAGTTCCTCAGCTCTTTCACTGCTTGTTCTGCCTGCTTCTCCTTTTTCCTCTCCACTGGTGACTCCTGTAACTCTGCAAGACTATTTGAGTGGGACAGGTCAAGCAGCTTCTCCAGGGCCCTTTTCTCCCATGGATATTGTATCTGGGATTTCAGCTTCTGGAGGTCTTTTCTTTTTAAATATTGTAATGACTGGGCACAGGTCACACCCAGGACTTCCTTCAGCTTGATCAACCAGTACTCAACTCCCAGTCCCACTTCTCTGAGCATCTCTGGAAGATCTTGCCTCCTTTTGCTTCTGAGGAGAGGCTCATCAGGGATCTGCTTGCTTGTGTCCATGGCTGTGTGAAAAAAAGACATTCAGTTAGTGTTGACTGGGTCCTGAGATTAGGAAGTGTGAGCCACGTGATGAAAAGCATGAATGTATTAGGAAAGCTAGTCTCCAAGGCCTTCTCATCCCTTGCTTTACTTATTCTAAAATTTATTTTTCATCAAAATCTTTCTGTATATTTTCTAGACATCATTGACTGTGTTTTCAACATAGACTTTTTAAAAATTTTCTATGGTGAATTGAAACTTAATGGCCTAATTTGAACACTTTACACCCTAACAATTTCACTGAAACTATGAGACTGAGGCATGGAGTGTGAGAATATCCATGAGTTTCTCAGCTTAATGTTTATTTTTTAAACTAGAGCAATATCAACACTTAGTTGTCTTTCTACTATTTTTTTTCTTTGAATTACTTCATTCCTATCACTCTGTCAGTTCTTTTTAGGATATTTAATGCCTATTTGTTCTCTTGTCCTTTAAAATGAACTTCTAACATTTTTTACACTTCTAGATCACTACTTTGTTTCATCTTTACTGAGTTAATACTGTCTTTCCATTATATGAACAATTATTTATATATGGATGTCATTCAAATATATGTATATACATCTCCAGACTCTCCTCAATCTGGATTTTATTAGTGTTCTGCACCCACTCCATCTTCAGCACATATCCTTTGATTGTAGATGAGATATAGTTTCATTTCTTTCAAGTTTATACATTATTCAGGTTTTTTTCCTTTTATTCTACCTATCCCATCAATGGCACTAGCATCCCTGCTCAATGAGTATCCTATACACTTGTCTTCCTATGAATGTAAATTTATTACACCATGTCTTTTTAACCTACCCCATTAAGTCTCTCTTTTTAGTTAAATTTTTTTATTGGTTTTATTTTTTAAATACCTGACAGCGGAATGCATCACAATTCTTATTACACATATAGAACAATTTTTCATACCTCTATTTGTATATAAAGTATGTTCACATCAATTCATGTCTTCAATTCAATTACATGTACTTTGCATAATGATGTCTATCACATTCCACCATCCTTGCTAATTCCTGCCTCTCCCTTTCCCTCCCACCCCTCTTCCCTATCTAGAATTCATCTATGATGCTCTCCCTCCCATGCTCTCCCTCCATACCCCACTATAACTCAGCTTCCTTATATCAGAGAAAACATTTGGCATTTGTTTTTTTTTTTTTTTTTTGGTATTGGCTAACTTCACTTAGCATTATCTTCTCCAATGCCATCCATTTTGATTTTTAAATTTTTATTGGTACATTATAATTATATATAATAGTGAGAGTAGTCATTATGCTTATTCAAACATGCACATAATTTGATCAATCTCATTCATTGATACCTTCCTTTCCCATAGATCCTCCACTGATCTACTTGCTCTACTCTATTGATCTCCCCTCTATTATTATTATGATTGTTGTTATTATTATTTTAATTAGTGTAATATAAAAGGTTCAGATTCTTTGTTGTGGTATAGTCATGCCTGGGTAGCTTAGTCTGATAGATTTTGTTCTCCAGTACTACCCTATGCCATCACCTCTTCCTCTCCTCTTTCTCCCCTCTATCTATTCTATTGTTCTCACATCTATTTTTATGAGATCCTTTATTTAAGATTCATTACTTTTTTTCTCTCTGGCTTTCTCTAGGCAGAGACAACATTCAATCTTTGCCTTTCTGGAGCTGGCTTATTTCACTTAGCATGATGTTCTTAATTCCATTCATTGACCATCAAATGACATAATTTTACTTTTCTTTATGGTTGAATAAAAGTCAATTGTGTATATACTGCATTTTCTTTATCTATTTTCCTGTTAACAAACACCTAGGCTGACTCAATAACTTGGTTATTGTATTGTGAATTTCACTGCTCTAAACATTGGCATACATATATCACTCTAGTATGCTGATTTTAGTTATTTTGGATAAATAGGTGTGGTACACAAGAGTCATATAGTTATTCCATTCCTAGTCTTTGAAAAATTCTCCATACTACATTCTTAAGTGTATGTACTAATTTACCATTTCAACAATAATATATAAATGCATATTTATAAATGTATTGTTTTCCCTCACATCCTCATCAGCAATTATTATTTGTATTCTTGATGTTAAAACTCCTTTTATATATATTTCTTTTCATTCCCTACACACAGTCTTTTAGATTTTTCTTTCACTTGAGATAAATTTGCTATGCCTTGGTCTATGCCTTAGCAAATTGGTAAGTCCTATGTGTGTATGCCAAGACCCTTGAATTTATACACCTGGTTCTCCTTCACTGAAACATCTCATATCTCTTTGTGGGGACATATGTGAGTCTCAGGTGCAGGAATTATAATTCAGTGGGAGTAGGGAAACTATGTAATTTGTCCTCATCTAGTTGGTCTGTTTTAAAGGTTTCCAATTTGTTAGCCTTGATTTTGGGAATCCCCTTTATGGGCTGGATATAAGGTGTCCTCCAAAATATCATGTGTGAAACAATGCAAGAAAGTTAGAAGTGAAATGATTGGGCTATGTAAGCCTTAACTCAATCAGTGACTGAATTCCTTGATTGAGATTAACTGGGTGGTAACTGAAGGTATGTAGGGTGTGGCTGAAAGAGCTGGGTCATTGGGGATGTGACTTTGGGATATATATTTTGTCACTGGAGAGTGGAGTCTCTATCTTTCTCTCTGCTTCTTGTTGTTCTGTTCTCTACCATAAACGTCAATCCTGACATCCTGTTTCACTGCAGGACCCAAGGAATAAAGTAGGTTGTCTAAATACTTAGAATTCTTAAATTGTGAGGCCCCAAAATAAAATTTTCTTCCTCTAAAATTGTTCTTGCTAGGTCTTTTGGTCCTAGCAATGATAAGGCTGACTAAATCACCCTCCTTGTCTATATATGTGCTTTTGTTATATCTGTTTCTGGCCCTTGAAGATATGGGCAACACCATGTCCATTTTTGCTAGTGGTCTCTAGAAACGAGTTTGGCCCAATGGGTCACATAAAGCTTTAAAGTTTGACTAAGCAAAAGATGCTATGTTACTTTAACACAGTCTGAAAGATGCATGATTTGGAAAATGAGAAAAGATTGCTGTTGAATATTATTCTGAATTATTATAAAATATTGCACTTGTAGTTGTTCTGCCAGAAGTCACAAAAAGGAAGGACATTTTGTATATGCAGGCATTCATATTTATGTAATTACATGATAAATAATCTGAATGACTTGGAACTAAGATAATGGTAAAAAACAAAAAACCCACAGTCTTCAGTGCAAAAATATAGCAGAACACCAAAAGGAAAAATTAAGAAAGCAATAAATCATTTTAACTCAATTGCAGCTGGCTGGCACTTCATCTTGACCTGCTTCTAGCACTGGCCCTAGGTCCAGGGAGTTTTGGGTTATCCCTACTGGAAAACACTGTTTGGAGATGCTGGCCTCAGACTAGAGGAAGAAGCTGGGGAAGCTGAGTAGAATGGGGAGAAATAATTTTTGAGTAGGGGAGGTGCGACTCCAAAGGTCTGAGCTTCTATCCTAACTTCAAGCCTACCCCTGCCTCAGGCAGACTCTCTTCTGCCTGCTGGTTGAAGAGAATGTGGCAGCAGTAGAACCCAGGCTGCTGGCACCTAGAGGTTATGATCTGGGGATGGGAATGTTTTCCCCTTTTAATAACTAATAGGTTACTTCATTTGGCCAAACATCCAGCATTGGGGCAGGACAATGCTGGCTATGGCAGTACCCATTTGTATAAATGTGTAAGGGGATGACCAATATAAACAATAGCCCAGGAGGAATATAGACACCCAGATTTTGTTCAAGAACTGATGTCTAAAATATAAAAATTGTAGTTTTTTTCTATCAGACTTAGAGATCTAGAGTGAAAGGCAGGGACAATCATATAAGACAAACAGTTCTAGGGCCCAGCTTCAGCTGCATGTGGAGCAGCAGGGACCTTGCCTCTATGGGAAAAAAAGGAGGAGCCTCAATTAGTGGAGCCCTCATAAGGCTAGACCAATAATGGCTCAAAGGTTAAAGATCCAGGGGGAATGGCCTAACGGGGATGATTCAAATCTGCTCCTTGCTACAAACAGGTATTTGTATACTACCATGAGTTCATACACCCCAGCACAGCTGGTAGAGTTGGGGTCCAACTTCAGGCAGAAAATGAGAAAGTATACCAGCATGAACACTGGAGTAGACGGGATAAAGTTGAATGGTATCAAAGTGTATAAAATGACTTTATTAACTCCCCACCCTGCTTACATTGGCACCTTTACTGCAGTGCTGCTGATGAATGTAGGGTCATTAGTAACTTGACATCTTTCTACTCAGAAATGTCAACAAATTTAGGAGATATAATAAAAGAAGAATGCATGGCTCCCTTGATAAGTCTTTGAACAGTTGTTTGTGGGAGAATTAGGTGGTAAAGGTCAGTATTCTAGGGTTTGAGCCATGTCTCGGCACTAGAGGCCTTATATAGAATTGGCAATACACTGGTCTCCAAAAAATATTTGGAGAGTAACAGCCTTTGTGTACATAGGATCTAAATTCATGTGGATATATGGTAAGGTTAAAAAATTCTCACATGGGTTAACTGCTACTGATGAATACAGTGAGAGTTTGAGCCATAGCCCTAATGCTATGGTTTAGAAATCTGTTGCTCACTCTCTTCCTGGTGCTCATACTTCTCATTCCTGAATGTAAGGTAATGTTGAATGGTATAATATTATTATTATTGATGTAGGGTAAATGCCTTCAAATTATCTTAGGTGAGTTCTGTCTGTATTGTTGGGAGATTAAGCCCATGTTAGCTGGAAAGCCATTTAAAGGGGGATGCAACACATCCTCCCACTGGTTGGGTAGTTGCCACCAAATGATACTTGGCTAATGTAAACATAATTTGCCCAACTGACAATCCTTTTAATTTCCATTTGTGCCTGGTAAGAAATACAGATGGAATTTGGAGCACTGTCATAGATTACAATAAGATAATCTCTC